ATATTAATAATGTTAATTGTAAGAACAATAATAATAATCATAGAAATATTAGTAATAGTAAAAACCATGGCAATAATTATATAATAATATAACATAGTGTAATTGTGAGTTAAGAATCAAAAATTACAATACAATTTGAATGAATATAAATAAGATGGGAGGTCCTTTAGGAATGGATCATTTATTAAAGATGAAGCGAAAGAATTTTTGCTGAACTTTTTTCAATTTTAATATATTACCTAACTAATAGGAGACCATAAACTGAACCGTATTCGCAGACGGGTCGTACGAACAAACAGTAAATTGATTTAAAGCAATTTTATCGGTGAAGTCCGCACAACTACAATTAATAAAACTAAGAATGTCATAATCAGCTAAACAAACATTATGCATTAAATCATTTAATTTAGTATTTATTTCGCGGACATATTAATAGTATAGATTTAAATTATTAGAAACAGGCCGTTTACAAGTTTTTTTAAAATAGTTGGGATACCTTATAAGAATTTGATTATTAAATTTGTCTCACTGGCTGCTTTTCATTATCTAAGCTTAGCATAGACGTTTCGCAGTTGATCACGTTGCATTTGGATGTGGTCAGGAGAAATACGAATAAAACTGTAGTTTAAGGATGAACGCAATTTGTATTTATTTCTTAGAATGACGAAAGCATCAGATGCGTCTCGTAGAGTAATTTTTAACGTGTGAGACATTGTTGATTTTCTACCTAATCTGTTGATAGCTATTAGAGTTATTTCAATAGCTAAACTATCGAAAACAGATTTAATGAGAGAAGAGTTATTAGCTGAAGTATTATCGTCAGATTCCGGAACATTAAATATAATTCTATTATACGATCTTAATTGTCTGTCGGAAATTTCAGTTATTATGTTATTATCTGTTAAGGTATTCGTGGACTCCAAATTAGATAGATGTGTTTCAATTAACGTTACTCCATCTTCTAGCAAGATAGTACAACCATCTAGGTCACGCAATTGATTTGAAACTTCGTAAATTTTTTTATTGAGTTTACCGAAAAAAATGTTTATGCTTAGAAGTCATAGTTTTAATTTTGTTAACTAAATTAATAATGTTGTTGATTTTAGAAATGCATTCAATATCCAAAGAAGTGGACAATGCAGTTTTCTTAAGTCTAAATTTTACAGCATTACAAGTGGTGTTAGCCATGAACTAAATCGTTTTTTTAAAGAGAGTAACCAGTAAATTTAGATAGAGATGTACAACCGATATGATATTTGCATTGACATTTAGCGCACTTTATAAGGTCACATTCGTTCAACGTAAAATTACACTTTGTACACTGCATGGTATAAAAGTTAAAATAATGGAGTAAATAAAGTGGAAACGTCCAAACCGAACAAAGGTTTAACGATAATTCAATAATAACTTTTTCCTATAAATAGAAAATCCCGAAAAAATTTTCCTCATTATCTACGATACCGAAAAACCGAGTTTTTGTTCCGGTTGATACGATACATGACAATTTATTAACGTATAATATGTGATAATTTATTAGATATTATTCTTAGTAATTATTTTTCATCACATGTAATAAATAACTGTAATAATAGTAATTTTTCGTTAGGAGAGATGATCTTTAATCATGTCGAGCACTGTACCGGCACGCCGATGAGTAATGCACATCGGTGATCAAATGTGTGCAAATCACGCACGAGGGGACACGTCATAATATTATAATGACGAAAACACAATGATCACTCGCTAGATGTGCACTGCAACGTATTAAAATATTGCATTCATAACCGCGGTGTCGGTCGCGGCGTTTTAAAAACGAACACTGTACAACACTGTGCGGTACACAGGGCCGCGTTGACATGTTTACCGGCGGTATGCTTGACGAATTGTGTGGGCTGGTGAAAAATCACTGTTCTAAATGACTAAAATACCTACTGTGGGATACGTTCAGTGTGGAGTAGTGATCATCAATAATCGAATAACAGACGTGGACTAACCACAAACATTAATCGCAACAAAAGCGCCATATAGTTGGTGTTATTATAGATGCGAAATGGCGCTTCATGATGATTGTCAATTATATATTATTTGCTGACCTAAACTGCCTGCTCCGTGAGAATCATTATAGTATATAAACAAAGATTACTTCGTAAAACTTTGGAAATCTGAATCTGGTGCCCAGAATCGGTGTTACCGTTAAAAAATGAAAAACATACACGTTGAACTATGCATGCGTGCACCAAAAGAGTTGAAACATTGAACTTTCTCCTAAAAGCGTGTATGATAGTCCTCTAAAAGCCCCACAATTTATTTCAGTACAAAGTTATACGGCCAAAATATTTGGTGTCACCTGAAACCATAATCACACTAAACATTTCGTATATGTATTCTTACTTAATATCTATGATCCACGAATACGAGCCAGACACTATTCGAATTCAAGCGATTAGTCAAAATTAAATTTCAAAGGTTTTCCCTCTGTATACACCGTTCAGAAGAAAAGATCTGTGATCCATCTCATATTCTCTTTGATTTCCCCTTCCTATCTATTAAACGTAAACTCTTTTAAGTCCCTCGATATCCCAATTAATATCTTCGACATTCTAAAAACCTTTTATTACTTATACTTTTTTAATATTGTGATAATGTTTATTTTATTTCAATTAAATTTATTATTACTATCATTGTAATTGTCGAGTTTTTACTTGAAGCTTTAATTAAAAAAAAACCTTTCGATATCATTGCGTTTCCAATGAATTCCTCGGACAAGGGTTTGTCGACAGAACGCTATTCGTAGAGCCACCGGCCGCCGAGTGTTGTCGATAAAAGGCTATGCTTCGTACAATGAAAAACAGCTGTCCTGCTCCACGTGCTTTATCCAAAAAACAGCTAATTTCACATATTTGGTTTGTAGTAAAAACGTTAAAATAAAAACAATAAAAACAGTCCTTTCGAAATTCCCCCTCGAAAATATGCTACTGTAACTGCACCATATACAGTGCCCGCGATATTCGACTGATACGAGCCGCTGGTAGAGCTTTCTGGTCGGTAGTACACGTCCCCGCTCGTCAACGAACGAAGGGCTGGATCGACCGTAAGCATTTTTGTTGGACGTAAATCACGGGATCGGGTTTAATTTACTCGGAGAAATGGTAACCGTACGCGGATCGACGAGAGCATTTAATTGCTATACCGTAATAAAGTTCAGCCGGCGTGGCTTGTAGGAACGGTATATTATAATAGTAATAAATTGCAGCCAACAGTTCGCCGTACGTACAGATCACCCGTGATGTTTTTTGAATTCCTAAGTCAAACGAGAAAAATATAACAGTATCATCGGATTCACTCGGTCGCTTCGTTGTTGTTTTTTTTTTAAATTTTTTTTCTACGTGAAACTATTTTCGCAGTTTGTGAATCGGCACTGAAAGTTTCAAACATTTTGAAAACCAAAAACCAAACATTCGTGGTGGGTTCTTCAACAAGTTGATTACGCTAACGATAAACGTATTGGACAACACTTGGGAAATAGAGTTAAGCTTATTTCACCAAGTGTTTGTATGCAGTTTGAAAAATTGAATGCACATATTATATGGCTTGACAGGTGAGTGCAATGATAGATTCGTTGTTTTTTGTAATGCTGAAAATATTATTCCGTATTTTTTTTTTTTAAAAAAGCTTTAATTTTATTACGTATGGGAAAAGCGAATTAATTAGTGTACGAATAAGATTATTTTTATACAGTTTCATAATATAGTTATAGTATATGCTGGATTTGGATTGTGTATGTCGCATCCATATCGCGTTATTGTACGTTTCGCGAAATGGAACCACGGTTTCTGCACTTCACGTAATTACACAATATGGATAACATTTCGTAAAATGGATACCTAAACCATCATCGACGGAACTTGTTCTGTCATTTCGATACCTATGTAGCAAAAATTAAAAAAAAACTTTAATTTCTATATATTATAAATAGGGCTCGGATTTTAAGGCATTTGCATCTTTTTTTTGGGATGTCTTACGCGATGCTTTCCAAGCTACAAATTTGTTTCAGGTACTCCGTGTTCTATCCACAAACATTTTTTGCATTTTTTTGCATTTTCAGCGGATTTTATACTTTTTAGAGCATTTTTTGACGTTTTTTTTTATATATTAGGACATTTTTGACCTATTTCTTGTATTATGACTAACTTCAGTTGATGTTGAGAGGTCATTTTTAGTATATAAAAACTTATTGGCAGCAACCGTCGATCATTAAAATTTCAAAACTTAAAAGAAATACTAATCGTACAGTGCAATTCAAATATGTAATTTAATTTTTAATTCAATTTTTTATTTTAATTTTTTTTTTATTTTTGTATTTTAATGTAAATAAAATTTCATTTTTTATTCATTTTTTAATAATAATTTGAATTTATTTAATAAATGATGCATTTTTTTATATTTTTAGGGCATTTTTTAGAGTTTTTAGGTCATAAATGCATTTTTTGAAAGAGCATTTTTTTGATATTTTTAGGGCATTTAAATCCGAGCTCTAATTATAATATATTATTATCATATATTACAATTATTTTTAAGAAAATATTTTATAAAAAGGTACTTTAATACAAACAACAATGGATGTCCATATATAGCTGTTTGCTTGGAGTGACAATAATTCTTATCTATTTTATCATAAATGACAGTCACACTATTGTATTTAGATATTTGTTAAGAGCTTGGATGAAAGATAACAAAACAAAGAAATAGTCAATTGGACTACAATTTGTTAAATTTCAAAAAAATAGTTCTCATCATCGTGTGATTATTAGGTCACCGTATAAGTCTTTATTTGGGAATAATCTGAAAGTTGGATTAGATACATCCAATTTATTAATAGAAGTATTACAAAAATTGGTAACAGAAGAAGACTTTCTTCTTTTGTGATTCTTTTAAGAAATCTACAAAGAAGAAATTCAAAGTGAGATCGAAAAAATAACTGTTCAATGTAATGTTTGCAGAACAGAATGTTGTATGGAAACGAACTCCGGCAAAGCAATTTAATGTAATTTATGTGAGGAGAATATAAAAATTAAAGAAGCACATCATTTAAGAGCTATAGGAATAGAAAAGTAAGCCGAAAAAATGTTACAAGTAAAATAATTTTGATTTTCATACTTACTTAAAATGATCCATTATTTCATTATGTTATAGGATAGTAAGATCAAAATATCAACATTTAAAGTTGGAGACTGTATTGTAATCCCGGTTCCGAAGGTGGATAGAGGTTTTGAAGACTCAGCTAACATTATTGGCGTAATGATCGACCAGAAAAATAAACTTAACCGTTTAGGAACTGAACATGGCATACTAAAAGTTTGGTATGGTTCTGGAAATATACAACCAGCCACATACAATTTCATTGACTTCGAGCAGGCGAATAAGACAAAAGAAATATCTAAAGAGAAATTGTATCTTCTTTAACTGGAGGTCAAGGTATTTTTAGCATTTATTATAAAGGCAAATGTCAAACTAAAAATTGTGCTTGTTTTAAAGATAATTTAAAATGCAATTCTCATTTCCATAACTCAAAAGCTTGTCTAAATAAATATTAGTTTGTATGAAAGTATTATAATTTTATAATATTTGTAAAACATTTATTTAAAAATAATAATTTAATTTAATTTTTAGGAATAAATATAATATATAAAAATTAAAGTATTTTTTCAATTGTTGCTATGTGGACATCCAAATGGCAGAACAAGTTTCGTGAAAACTTTCCATTTCATGAAATATTATCCATATTGTGTAATTATGTGAAGTAGAGAAATCGCAATTCCATTTCATGAAATGGATGCAAACGTTGTCCATTTCGCGAAACGTACAATAATGCGATATGAATGCGACATGTATAAAAATGTATTCGACTTTCAAATGAAAATGTTATTATTATTATTATTGATTTTTTTTTTTACTGAGCATCACGGAATCGATTTAAAGTTTTTGTCTATATTTTTCAATTATTTTGTCTCAAGACTATACAGTACAAGTTGGCTTAATATTGGTATATGGTTTATGAAAACAATAAGTGATGGACTATTTAAAAGTTATTATATTTAAGATGGAGGTTTACTGAGATATAGATAAACAATTAATATTAAATTTAGGTGAAGAAAATTTGGTTAGGACAGGTTTAATGTTTGAAAATAGAAAAAGAGGAAAAATGGAAGGATATTACACGAGACGGAACATAGAAAGGATTTGTTATGAAATAGATGATTATAGCTAACCAGATAATTTAAGTTCAGCATAAAGACAATTTTTCTCGTGTGACTTTCTCCGGAAAACCATCGTAGTTGTATCAAGGAGTATATTGTAGATGATAGCTTACGCGCTTCATTTGATGTATCATTTGTGTCAAAGTTTACAAAGCGAGGTGAATGATTGCGTTGTATGTGTGTGCGACAAAATATTATTAACAGTGGTTGCCAACGCCGTGGAAATTCTCGTGTTCTGCGTGACATTTCCAGTTTACAACGGAACGTAAAAGTGTAAACGTTTTGATTGAATTTTAATTGAACAGACTAATAGATGAGAGAATTTGGTTTTATAATGTGAAAAAATTGATTATACATACACTTACTCAAAGCTGACTTAATATCCATTATCGAGGTACAGCATGCATGGTGTTGGATTTTCGTGGGATCACATGCTACCCATGGTTATTTATAATGGGCAGACTGAACGCCGAGTGCAAACATAGTTACATTTATATATATATATATACACTTTAAAATTCGTAGTGTTCTGAAATATGAGTAACCTACCGATAAAATACTAATGAAATAGTAGCCGCTAGCCGTACAAATAAACGGGTTGGAACCTGTCCGGGTTGCAAATACATTTCGTTACCGTCTTTTTGTTTAGTGTCATAATTTTCGTGCGATGCGTAGCGGTGCGTTGCGTGTCCATTGCGTATCCGTTGCGCAGCCATTGTCGACGGCGGCAATAAGCCTCCGCGTACGGCCGGCCGAGTCGTGATCGCATTGTTATCATTACGCGTATATTTTTTCTTTTCGGTTATGTTTCGTATAATGTCCAAGTCGTGTTCTCAGTGTCATCAAGTTTCGTAAAGTTCTCGTGTTTTAGTTTAGTCTGGTAGCACTGAGACGTTTTATCGTTAAAACGGTGTCCGGCAGCCGTAGCCTCCGTGGTGAATGTCGTCGGCACCAGCTCACTCTCGTCTTTCTGTCTTCAAAATGTGCACATAAATTGCCGGTGTCTATGTCGTCCGTATTGTCATCGTCTGCAATCAATTTCCTGTGAGACCGTGTTGTTTTGTGTTGTGTTCCTGTTCGATTGTCTGGTATTTATCATTCTAGCAACTGTTTTTTTGTTTCTTTAATTAAATAGTATTGTTTTTTAGGCATATCTACTGGCGGTCATTGCAAGTAACGTGGTTTTGAATTGTGCTGTGCGATTTTCTGCAGACACGTGAATTCGTCATTTGGATAGTCGGCTAAGTGGTCGTACGCACGCGGGACTTAGTTTTTAAATGTATCTTATTACGATCTGCGGTGCGGGTTGCGTGGGATGAAATCCACCACCTAACGCTGTCTATTGTGAGTATTGTTGACCAATAGTGATTTTTTAGTGTTTAGACCAACGGGTCTACTGTGTGTCGATCAGCAGAACTGGACATCTCGACGTGGCCATTTCGGCGTAGACTCAATTATTTTAGACTAATATTCTTTAATTTGATTTTTATTATAAACGTGCTGTATGCCGGTATAGCATATGATACTAAACACGCTACATAAATGATAATTGTGTAAATAATATTATGCGATACGGCATCAGCCAACATTAATAATGATGATAATGATTATCCCTCTATATATCTAATCTAATATAAATAAAATTAAAATAAACTAATGACAACTAATATTATGGGCTATCCCCCTTAAAAAACTAATAATGTCACGATTGTTATAATTATTTAAAAGTTTTTTATTCTTTTATCTACATCGATATAGGTACTTCTCTTTTTTTCCATAGGGGATTTTTTCCAGCTTCTAATTGATTATAAAATGTATCACGACCATATTGTACTTTTATCAAACAATAAATTATTGAAAATAAGTTGAAAATAAGGTTGGATGCTGCGCATCCATTTGTAAATTAAGTCGTCTGTTGGCTACCTCGACATAGTTGTTAGTTCTGATTTAAAAAACAAATTAAAAAATATAAGTCTAAAAGAATTGAATGAACGCCGAAATGAGTCTACGCTGAAATGGGTTTACGCCAAAATGGTTTACGCCGAGATGTCCTAGACCGGTCAGTCAGGCATATAGTTTAGTTTTATATTTTTAGTTATACCGCTGTAGGTTCAATAAATATATTTAATTTGTAATAAATTGTATATTTTTGGACATCCCGCTGTAGGACCGACCAATTTGTTTATTTATTGTTATCGTTATTGTTTGTGCATCGAGTGGGCCACATTTGCATTATTTTTATTTTATTTATTGTTTGCCAACAAGAAAAATTACTATTTAATGATATTATTCTGTATTTGTGCCATTTAAACTATTTGTTTTTTTATTTATTTATTTGTTGATTGATTATATTTTTCAGATGGACGAAATAGGCACATACCGTTTATATTTATTCTTATACAGTCCACTATCATTATTATTTTTGTATCCTATTTGTGATTAATATTCCCTGGCGAACAAGCCAGCCCTACATTTTTCTTGGGCATTTGCCGCGCCAACAAAACCTATAAAACAATATATTCGATTACAACTGGAAAAATCGGCATTTTTTTTATCACGTTTTGGAGGTGTGAAATGTTTATTAAAATATTTTTAAAAATAATTGTTTAAGACAATATAACAAGTTATTAGATATATTAACAGAGTTTCGTGATACTTTTTAATGTTAATAAATCATCAAACCATAACTTTAATAATAGTAAAAAAAAATCATAGCACCATATTTTTAACACCAACTTTTTGTATTATAGATGGTGTTATAAATGTATGAGTAGATTATATATATTTATATATATATTTTTAATCATAAATGCATAATATCTAATTAAAATGTTTTATAGGTATAAATTAAGTACTTTAAAAATCTAAAATAAAAATATGTTTAAAACCAATTGACTAGTCGAAGGATTTAGACGAGGGAAAATTTTGTTTGGAGAAGTTTATTACACTCTCCTTGTAAAATATTATTATTTATACGCGAATCAAGAGTTCTTCGAAGGTTGATAGTATTGAAATTGGGATTTTGTATACAGAAAGGCAATTGTGAGTTAGGTTTAAGTTATATTTGCAGCGTATCAGTCTTAAAGAATTCAAATATTATTAAAGATAATAGAAATACTACTGTGTGAAACTCATATGCGTATAAAAATAACGGCTCTCGACTGATTGTGACTACTCCGAGCGAGAAGAAAATTTGTTAAGTAGGAACGTGTAGTTTTTGTCTGTATCAACTAAGTAACATATTATTAATCCAGCGACGTATTTGAATATTGTTGACAGAATAATCTAACAATCCATTATCTCAATTATTTTTTGTTATTGATTGTATTGAATTTTCATGACATCGGAGTATTATAAATATGTTATTCATTTTTACGATTTTTAAAGGGATTAAATTACATATTAAACAAAATTAAAAAAAAAATCCTAATCAGAATTAAGTTTCAGTACAGATTCTAAATAGAATTCGTATTGTATAGGTACGTTAAAACGAAAATAAGTCTTATTAGAACTAAAAAAGAATCACTTTTTATCCACTCAAATAAAATTAAAAAAAAGTCGACAAACGATGATATCCTAGAACACGGTTATGTACTAAATACTTAATTAGTGAATGTTTGTAATGTTTAATTAATGTGTGATTAGCTTTTTAATTTTTGAATATTTTTATTATTTTTTGTTCCCTAAAGGCACATATCTATCTTTCGTCGTCCATCCCAAACTCCTCTTGGTTCCAGAATCTGGACTATCTCGATCCAAAATTATCTCCTTTTATTGACTCCATTTTGGTCATTATTTACTTCCTCATAATTAATTTTTCCTTTCACTTAATTCTTCATCCCTTTTGTGTGTGGAACACACGAAGATATATGAGATTTAAATCATATTCTTTTTTTATGTTCTTCTCTTTCTCTTCTCAACGACTCGTTGTTTCGTAAAATTTCCTCTCTTCACTGCCCTTCCATTGATGTATTCCTTTTTCTCAATTATCGTTCTCTTTCTGTCATCTCAATTATCATCAATTTCATCCTCAATACAGGCTTCATAATTTTAATTTAATTTATATTAATTTATTTGTATTTGTTGCAAAATATCATACTATGTCATGTTACACAAATAATCGTTTTTAACTGTATTTCAAAATGAAACTTAATTGTCAAGCCTTAATATATCCAGGACAAGGGTAGTAAAAAAATAAAAAAGTAAAGTATTATCTGCTCACGAACCATCTATCACTTTTATAACGTTAACTATTGTGATCCGTATGGTGGTATTTGGTTGATCACCTACTGATTGATGGCTCTCTCTTG